TATTCTAGGACAAGAGTTTCGTTAGAAGGGTCTACCCCAGTAAGTATCATGTGTGAGTGCGCTTGCGTGTGTGTGTATATATATTCATGTTTGTATTTTTTTGCTTACAGAAATGCACCTTTTTATCATGAGAATTTGTCTCGTTAATCCTCGCTTCCGCTTTATTAGTTTGCGGGAAGTATTATTAATACATAAAATCTGCACTGTGTGGCAGTTCTTTTCTTTATATGCTTGAACTGTGGTGAATTTGGTGCTGCTCTTCAGGTTGTTAATGGTTTTCTTCCCTTTCGTTACTTGCTCATCCGAACCTAAGAAAAAGGAACAAATATTAGAATTTCTTTTATAAGGAATGACATGCTTTGTTATGGATATCTATTTGAAGTTTGGCTGTGTCTGAAGTCTGTTTAACATTTATCTTGTATGCCCTTCCCTTCACTGACGTGCTGATGCTGTTGGTTATTCTAAGGCCCCTGTCTATAAAGAACCAAACTTTACCATTCCTGGAACTCCAGCAATTGTTCAGCATGAAATTTTAAATAATAGAAGGCATGTATTGACAAAGGTAAAAGTGGTAATTCTTCTATTTGTTGGTTTACGTTCCAAAGGTTGTCCTGGGAAATTTCTTTTTGAACATTTATGATATTTATGCTTCTTTAACAGGATGCTGCTGGTTCAGTAAAGCGCTGGGAGATAACCAGGGGTGTTGTGATTGAGGACTATGGACAGGTGAATGAGAATCTCTCACCACTTTCTCTTTTTCTCCTCCTTGATAGAATTGGTCTGCACTTTGCTTTCTATGTACAGTTTAACAATAGACACTTGTGTGTTCATGGTTATGTCTTTGCTGTACATATTTATGCATTCTTATATTTGATGTCCAGGTTTCATTTGACGGGAAAAAGGAAGAGCTGTTTGAGATGGTGCAGTAACTATTTATTTGATATATGCTTGCTGATTATAATATATCTTCTTTATGGAATTTACTTTGGATCTTTGCTTAAAACCACTCTAGGTAAGCATTCCTGCATGGTTCACTGTGGATACCCGACTTGGAAGCTTGTCTGTTCATTTAGAGACACCTCAATGCTTTACTGCAGAGATGTATTCTGCAGATTTGAACATAAGTGGAAGGCCCGAGGATGATAAGGTAATATATGTAAATATATATATTTATTGTGTCAAACTTAAGAAGCTGATATCTGTGACATATCTTTGTGCATCTGTTGTTGGCTTGTCTTTGGCAGGTTAATCTAGCTCGTGAAGTCCTGAAAGGTCTGTTGGCTCATTGGCTGTCCAAAAGAAAGCAAAGTCACGGCTCCCAGGCTTCTGCTAATGGAGACATTTTGTCAGGAAAAGATATGCCAGCACGAAGTGCTGCTCATTCAAGGATTGAGGTAGATGGAAATGCTGAAAATGACTCCATGGTCTATCCTCCTTTTGCGTTCTCTACTGTTTCCCCTCCCTCAATTATTACCGAGGGTTCCCAAGGAGGTCCTTGGAGAATGAAAATTACTGAATTGGATGCAACTGAGGACGAGAAGGACTTTCCTTTGTGGGTTTTGGATTGCGTATTAAATAATCGGTTACCACCACGAGAAAACACCAAGTAACTTCTTTGACCTCATTAAACTTTGCTTAATTAACTTTAGGAAATAAGTGTGTTAGGAACTTAATTGAATAGCCATTCAAGTACAGTAATCTGCCATGCCTTTTGTTTTATTGTTCCTTTTGCCATCATCATAAAACCTCTTCTCCATCTCTTGTGATCAAATTCTATTTTTTATTTTTGCAGGTGCAGCTTCTATCTTCATCCATATGAAGGATCAGCTGTTCAGATATTGAAACAAGGAAAGTTAAGTGCACCTCGAATATTGAGAATGCATAAGGTATGTTTTGGTAGTATAGTAATTTCAAAAGGATACTTCTTTTTCATGTCATGCGTTAGTATAGAGTAGGATATGTTGTTAGCATAAAAATTTATAACTCTCGGATTAATAGTCTATCATCTATTTCATATTTTGTTGCACGGACGCTTGAGGGGCAAAAAGAGCAATGTTGTATTTTAGGATACAAGTACGTTGGTAGATCCTTTGACTTAGTTGTTGCAAATACAAAATAGGAACAAATTTAGGATAAAATAATCTTTTGAATAAACTTTTTAGAGCGTGATGCTACTAATATTAGAGCAAGATGCCTTTTTGAGTTGTCTAATTTCTCTTCATTTTGGTTTCAAATTTTGGTATGAGATGGTGTATTGGAAGATGATTTATGTAGTAAAATTTTTTAGTCACCAACTTGATTTTAATGTAGAACTGGTGGTTATAGGTTGTTTTTGTATATAAATGTTTTATTGGGTTTCTGGTATAATAATTCATTCTCTTGTTCTGGTTGTCTAGGTTGTTAATTATGTCATAGAAAAGCTGGTGCTTGACAAACCGATTGATAGTGTAAGTACTGATGGGCTCGGAGGACAATCGCAGTCTGGACCGAAGCCTTGGCAAAAACATCGGCCTTCTATTGAGATTTTATGCAATAATCAGGCAAGTAGTTTTAGACTAAGGTGTTCAGTTCAAGTTCATTCATTATATTCTAGTCAGTTATATACTAAAGAATCTTACTATGCGGTTTTAGACGGTGGTTTAGCTCCGGTTCAATCATACTATATGACCAGTCAGTCATTTGATTTGCTGCTATATGTTGCAGGTATTATCTCCGGATATGAGCTTAGCTACTGTGCGGGCTTACGTATGGAAGAAACCCGAGGACTTGGTACTTAATTATAGAGTGATTCAAAGAAGGTGATTATTTCGACTTCTGGACCAGGTGAGTGACAACTTATTCTTGATTTAAATTCTATGTATTTCTTTTAAAAGAATGGTGCATTTGTAAAGTTCATTCGCTGGGGAGTATTATTTCTTACGATAAATGCAGATACAGTTTCTCTTTCCGATGAAAATCTCGAGCTTCTGCGAAGTGTTGGGATTCATAGTCTTCTGAGGGTGCCTATCATGAGCAGAAGTGTCTGCGATATCCTTGTATATATGGAAAGATGATGATTGGTTTTTGATCCGGGGCGTTCTTTAGTCTTTCTCAAGACCGTTGTGGGTAATGTTAGACGTGCATGATTTTGCCGTACATCAGAAAGCCATAGGACGGACATGCAAGTGGCAGAACAGTCTATAACTCCGGGGGACGATCGACCGGAAAAAAACCAGGTATTTTATGAGAAAAAAGAAGGGTATATGATGTGGGAAGCACTGTATATTTGAATCATGGGGGTACATTACACATATGGTCATAGAAACTATTGTTATGAAGTTGAATATTGTTCTTCATCTTATTAACCCTGGACCGATCGATTGAAGTGGTTCAACTTAGAGCCCATGCCCTTTCTCATTACAAACGGGGAGTGCAATGAATTGATTTTTTTCTTTTTAATTTTTCAAAAAGATTGAATGGACGCGTTCAATAATTATAGGATAAAATACACAAATAGTCATTTAATTATAGGGTTTTGTTTTATCGACTCTTAGTCAACTATTAAAAGTTAACAAAATTGTCACTTGAGTATTCGTATGTTATAAATTTGTTCTTTTTTGTTAAAAATAATTGGTAGTTGTTAGAGTTAGACATTAATTTGTTGATTGAGATTTAATAAAATATGATTCTAGAATTGTTTTAATTGTATAACAGTTTGAGGTTATAAGATAAGATATTATCATATTCTAGTCAACAAGTTAATAGACATCTTAAACTGTTAATTTTTTTACGAAAAAATGACAAGTTTATAATATATGAATAGTCGAATGATCATTTTATAATTGTTAATAATTCGGACTCAACGAAATAATATCCTATAGTCGATGAATTATTTCATAACTTTTAATAGTTTGGGACGCAGTGTTTTATAATCGGACCAACTTTACCCACAATCATATGTGTTGGGTTAGTAGATTGCCGATTAAATCATAAGTTAAAGTTGCAGTAAATTTGTGTTGTATCCAAAATCACTATCTAAATCCACAATTACCAAATTAAACTGAGTTTTAGTTTATCAAACATGTTTTTTCCTTCAAAAATTAGATTTATTTACTAAATATTTATTTTCAACGATAATTATTTCAATCGAATTATAATTTTGATTCTTGTACTATTTTCAAAGTTAAAAATTAGTCCTAATTTGTTCCTAATATAATTATCAATATCGGACCTATTAATTGATTAATATCAAATACTATAAAGGTTCATTATGAGATGATTTTTTTAACTTAATTTATTTTATCCATAAATATTATTTAAAAAATCTTTCAATTAATCTGACTTATTTTAATCTTTCTATTTTTATAACTTTATTATCTAAATAGTTGGTACATACTATTTTGATCAAAATATTAACATTTTTCTTCTTCATAAAAACATAATTTTGAATACAATATTCATGTCATCATGATATGTTAGAAGGTGGGTTTTTAAGAAAAAGAATATATCAATAATTTAATTGAAATAAGTAATGGGTTAACTATTTGGGATAGTTAGTGACAAAAAAATTATTTTAATTCAAATATAAAGATAAAATTTAAAATTAAACATGATAAAAAGATTAAAATGAAATTTGAATTATTATTTTATACCATCAAGCGGATCGCTTGCATTTAAGAAATTTATGACATCATAATTGTTCATTTATGTGAATTATTCAAGAGGATCTCATCCATAAACAGTAATACATATTCTAAATTTATGTTATATCAATCAAAATCATATCAAATTAATAAAAATATTAATATAAATATCAATTCTTTTTAGTTATTCACTTTCAGAATTATATCAATTAAATTACTTTTCTATGAAGGTCATTTTGTCAAATTTTAAAATTAAGAAGGACCTATAGGTTAATGTACCAAAAAGTTTTTTTAAAGGAAAAACCCTATTGCAAAAAGTCGTAACATCTAGTAAGCAATATAAGCGGTGGCATAAAACCCTAAACCCTTCCTTCAGACTCCTCCATAACGCAGCAGTCCAGAAAAAGAGTTGGGTAAAAGGAATTTAGGGTTTTCTTTAACAGCTTCCATTTCCCTCACTGTTCATTAGCATGTTCCTTTGATTTTGCTTTGCTATATTTATTTTTTGGTGGTGGGTTTTGTTTACTGTAACATCAACACTAATGGGATCCTTTATAAACGCCTAAATTTTGATTCTTTTTAGCAAATATTGTTTCTTTATAATGTTTGGGTACTTTTAAGCTTATTGGGTTTGAAGTTTGATCATGTTGTTAATTAAGCTTATTGTGATGATTATGTTTTTAGGTCTTTTTTGGAGGAATATTGAGAAATGCTTGTGTTGTTCGAGACTCCTGCGGGCTTTGCCCTTTTCAAAGTATTGGATGAAGGAAAGCTAAATAAAGTTGAGGTATTTTGTTCTCTACATCTTGAGATAGGAGGAAATTGATATATATATATAGGATCCACTTACACAATAAAATATTTTAGTTTTACATGTTTTTAGTATCGATAGATGAGTGGAAATAGGCGTATGAGATTCTCAATGGTAAATGAGAAGACATTCACTAAAAGAACAAAATATAATCTCATTAGTTTATTTTCTCCCTAACTTAAATTGTATATGTGGATCTTATATATATAACGTAGTTATGAAATGTGGTAGAGTGCCTTGATTGGATAATTACTGGTTTTTTGTGTTTTTTATGGAACTTCTTGATTTGGAGTTTATACTGAAGTTTGTGGTTTTGTTGTAGGACTTGTCAAAGGAATTCTTGGCTGCAGATTCAGCAAGAAAGGTTATCATTTTTTTTTACGAATTTTGAGCACGTTTTTATTTTGGATCTTCTTTAACTATGAGCTGACCGATATTTAAACAATGTTATTAGGTTGTCTCATTGCAAGCCTTTTCCAAGTTCGAAAACACAGCAGAAGCTTTGGAAGCAGCGACAAAAATACTTGAAAGCACACCTAGTAAAGGTCTGCGCAAATTCTTGCGTGCTCATTGTGACGGTGAAACGTTGGGAGTGGCTGATTCAAAGCTTGGAAATGCAATTAAGGAAAAACTGGTCTGTTATTCTCTTCATATATGGATTCTATGGTGATATTCCGCTTTTCCATTCAGTTGATATCTTATTTAGTGGAAGTACTTGTCTGCAGAAAATTGATTGTGTTCACAATAATGCTGTTATGGAGTTGCTTAGAGGTGTGAGAACTCAGTTGTCGGAACTCATATCGGGTTTAGGTGCTCAAGACTTGGCTCCGATGAGTCTCGGTTTGTCTCATAGCCTCTCAAGATACAAGCTGAAGTTCAGTGCTGATAAGGTACTTAAATGTTATGATAACTTCTTGTGAACTTGATTGAGCCTTATCTATTTCCTTTTGAACGGAAGGGTTTATTTTAAACAATTCCGATGGTAAAATATATAAATAAGCTGGTTTAAGAATTTCGGACGGGATTACTTTAATGAGATAGAATTTCAGTTTACAGTCTTGTAAATCATTGCATTTGTTTGATTTGACATTAATGACCTGTTGATCACTGAATGAAAGCATTAAAATCATAAATGAGTTGATCATTTTCATAGAGCTAGTCCTTCGATGCCAAAACAGAATTTCCGTTCGCTTTTCTTTAAAAAAGCTAATCTCTACTAAACCAGTTCCGTCTCTCTAATTTGGACTTTGGGAGAAGCGTTGACACGAGTAGGTGGTGTCCCGATATAAGGTGGAATTTGTGAGCTATCTGATATCTGTCTGCTCTAAAGAACTTTCATACTGTTAAGAGCTGTAGTTCTTTGGGACTATCATGATGGTATACTATCCCTGTATTGTTTTAGGTTGATACAATGATTGTCCAAGCCATCGGTTTGCTTGATGATCTTGATAAAGAGCTCAACACGTATGCAATGAGGGTTCGTGAATGGTATGGTTGGCATTTTCCAGAGCTAACTAAGATTGTACAAGATAATATCCTTTATGCAAAGGCGGTTAAGCTAATGGGTGACCGTGCTAATGCCGCAAAGCTTGACTTCTCAGAGGTAAGACTCTCAATATTCAATTCATAAAGCTAATGCCCGAGCTTTATTACCAAGTGTTCCAATATGTCAATATGAAGCTTATCATTGTCTTGCAAACTATCGTATGTAAAAGTACTTGAAGTAAACTTTTTTCTTCATTTTTAAAGATTCTCCTCGCTTGAATTTTCATAGATATTACCGGAAGAGGTTGAGACTGAAGTGAAGGAGGCAGCAGTTATATCCATGGGAACTGAAATTAATGACCTTGATCTTATTAATATCAAAGAACTATGTGATCAGGTTCTAAATCTTTCTGAATACAGAGCCCAGCTCTATGATTACTTGAAGAGCAGGATGAACACCGTTGCACCAAACTTGACCGCTCTTGTCGGTGAACTTGTTGGTGCTCGCCTCATCGCTCACGGTGGCAGTTTGTTGAATCTTGCAAAACAGCCTGGAAGTACTGTTCAGATTCTTGGTGCTGAAAAGGCTCTCTTCAGAGCACTTAAGACGAAACATTCAACTCCGAAATATGGGCTGATCTACCATGCATCCTTGGTTGGCCAGGCAGCACCAAAGCACAAGGGAAAGATTTCCAGGTCACTTGCTGCAAAGGCTGCATTGGCAATTCGATGCGATGCTCTTGGAGATGACCAAGATAACTCTATGGGACTTGAGAACCGAGCCAAGGTAAACCATAAACGTGTTTGGCTTATTTATCCCGTCACACCTTTGAAAAAAAATAAATGTAAGGTTTTTTTTCTTACTATACATTGTAGCTTGAAGCAAGATTAAGGACACTTGAGGGAAAAGAATTGGCACGTTCTGCCGGGTCTGCTAAAGGCAAGCCAAAGATAGAAGTCTATGATAAGGACAGGAAGAAGGGAGCTGGATTAATAACTCCTGCTAAGGTTTGTGCAATCTGATTTCATTATTTGTTATATTTAGTGTGTTTAGTCCTTTAAATGGTTACTGATGCTCTTTTTCTCACTATACAGACCTACAATCCTGCAGCAGATTCCCTTATTGGGCAACTAACAAACTCCGATGCTCTTGAACAAGACACTGTACCGAAGAAGAAGAAAAAGGTCGATACCGAACCTTATCTGGCAGAGGTACCTTCCGGCAAAGAGAAGAAGAAAAAGAAGAAAGCTGATCAGGAGGCAAGTGGAAATGAACCCGAAAGTGAAGAACCTGCTGCACCAAATTTAAAGGAAAAGAAGAAAAAAGAAACGTGAAGCTGAGGATGATGATGAGAATGTCGAAGTAGGAGAGAGGAAAAAGAAGAGAAAGCATGCTGAACGAGAAGAACCCGAAGTGCAGACCAAGAAAGAGAAGAAGAAGAAGAAGAAGAAAAGTGAGGATTAAGGAAAAGAAAGACTGGTGATTGACTGCCAAACAAGTTTTGGGAAATAGAGGGCTTTAGGTAGGCAGTTGTGCTTGTAAAATGTGTTACTTTTTTAGTTGTTATTTATATGGAAGTGCAAACCTTATTTTGTGATTGCAAGGAAACATGGGAACTTTTTTTATGCCACATCTTCACCAGTTACTCTTTGAGCCATGGATTTAAATTGTGATTGCAGTTGCTTTTTTGGTTGCATTTATCGTAATTGTGGACATAACAGATGCTATTACGGTTATTTAATAACTGTGTTGGACGGTATTGTTACTGCCACATAATGGTCACTATTTCCATAGTAGATTGTTATTTAAATCAGTGCTTCATTAGTTGAATTTAGTTGTACTTTTCCTTCTAATTACCAACTAATTATCATTAGTTGGTATTTCCTTTTCAGGGAGAATATCTGGAAGATGAATGTTTAAACTAAACTTAGAAGCTAATGAAATGGATGATGCTAAGCATTTCATCTTCCTTTACCTATCCCCCCCCCCTTTCTTGTCCAACACTCCATTTTATTCAAAATTCAGACTTTCCTAATATTAATATTATGTATATATATATTCCTTCATAAATTTCTTTGGGGAAAAAAGCAAAAATAATTAAAAGAAAAAGAGAGAAATTTGATTGACTAAGTACTCTTTAGCTTTGTATTATCTTCTTTAGTAGACAAGGAAAATAAAGTAAAAAGTGTAATTACTGTTTTGACTTGAATCCAACCCTTCTTTTAATATATAAATGATTTATTATTTAATGCAACATCATGCAAAAAAAAAAACTTTTATAAATGGTTTTAAAATTACGAAAAATGTATTTATTTTTTTTCAAAAAAATAAAAGTAAATTAGCTCAAAACAATTCATCATTCTTTTTTAAAAAAAGCAAATCATCATTTTTAAAATCGTTTGTGATATTATATTTTTATCGAGAGTATCACAAATTAATATTTATATATCTGATAATTACTTGACATATTAAAATCGATTTTTTTTTTAATTTTATAAATAAAATTAATGTTTTGAATTTACTACTATATAAAAATAATAATATATAAATAGTTATTATTGCAATTATTTTTAAATATATCAAAATTTCACCATTTCATTTATTCAGCAGAGAATATATACATAGTTTGTAGAATTATTTTTTTCTACTATTAAATAATAATTCGATTTTATTTATGAAATCCAAAGTTCATAACTTTTTTAACATTAAATATTTTCATTCGTAAATAATTATTTTATATAAACATGATAGGAAAAATAAATATTATTTTAAAAATAATTATCCTTTATATATACACACACCTAAGACAAGTAAATATTATTATTTTTTATTCCTAAATTATTATGTTTTATATGTTTACACACTTGGGACAAAAATATATAATTGTTTTTTATTTTAAAAATGGCTCGACTACATTTAAATTCAATTATATGAATTTAAAAATATGTATATTTTTGTTTGATTAATCTAATAAGTACAAGACAACATATGTTGACATTGAACGTTCACATGGATGAACCTATGCGGGGAGGGCGGGGTGGTCGGCCTCGTATAGAAAATATATTTTTGTCTTCTAAAATTTTATAAGTTCAAATTCGCTCGTAAAATTTTATAAGTTTAAATCCACCCCTTAACATGAAATTATATGTTTATCCTTAATATTTTTGATGCTCAAATCTAAAACTTAAGAAATAACAACAATTTTCTTATTTTATGTTAGTGCAGAAAATATGTATATTTTAAATAAAAAATTAAAAAAATCGAAGAATTATCTGATAGATCATGCCTTTAGCTTTAGGGGGTGTTTGGTTTAAGGATTGTGGATTCTCATGGGATGTGAATCCCACATTCCTATGTTTGGTTGGCCGGGAATCTCATTCCCGGTAATGTTTTATTACCAATAGTAGATTTTTGGGGTATATTACCGGGAATGTCATTACCTCCATTCCCTTAGGTATTATAATATTTACGTTTTGGATTAAAATGCCCTTAAATTTTTTATTTTTTTTCCAAAATATCATTCTTCTGTCATTGAATAATAAAAATTCTACGAAGGTTAAATTACAAATTTATCCTTAAATTATTTTAGATTTACAAAAAAAAGTCAATAATTAAAATTTTATATGAAGTTCAGGGGTTAATTTTTTTTTTACCATTTCATTAAACTTTTTTTATATTTTTAATTTTGTAAAAAAAAATTATATAAATATTATGAATTTAATTTTTTAAAGAAAATATATAAATATTTTACAATTTGTAATATTATACAAATATATAATAAGGACAATTTGGTCAAATATATATTCCAATAATCTTTTATTCCTTTAACCAAACACGATAATCTTACATTTCTGCTAAACCAATTAAACACAAAATATAACATTCCCAGTAATCATATTCCCTGATAATCTTTATTTTCACTGATAATCTTACATTCCGTGAACCAAACGCACCCTTAATACATAATGACAGTAATTATATCTTACTCTCATTTTCTTTTTTTCATATATAAAAAATAAAATAAAAAGGGGAAAGTGTCCAGAACACCAACAGGCAACAAAAGAGGCCAAAAACCATTTTACCAATGAAAACATTGAAGCCATTAGTAAATCTCTGTTTCTTCTTTCAGATTCAACCAAAGTAAGTATCAAATTTTTTTTTTTCATTCTCTTTAAAAACAATAACCCAACTCACTAACCAAACTCCATCCAAACACACTTTTTTTTAATAATTTTTTTCTTTTTCTTTGTTCTACTTTCGGATCATTTTCCATTTGACTTCCCAAGCTTTCTTCTTGGAACCTTTCAAATTTCCCTCTTTTACTCACCCGCAAGATCTTTTTGTTCATTCTGTTTTTGATTTCTTGCTGAATCTTGAACTTCCCAAATCTAGAAGTGAAAAGGGTAGGGTTTTATGATTCTTTTTGTAGAGTGAATTCTTAGCTTATGTTAGAGTTTAGATTGTTAGTTTACTTGGGTTTGTTTATGATTTCAAATAATAGTCAACTTTTTTTTTTGCTTTTTGGTGTGCAGATTTAGCAGCTTGATCACACTTCCTGAAGCTGCTTGATTCGTGGATAGTTAATAGTTTTTCGATTTGTTGTCCATTTTGAGCAAGACCCAGATTTTAACATGTTGGGAAATGAGGCCTAGATTTAAGAAATGGGGTGTGTTTTTGGAAGAGAAGTATCTTCTGGGATTGTTTCAGAGTCTAGAGCCAGTAGGAGTGGTTGCTCTGAATCCAATAGGAAAGTAGTACAAGTCACGGTTTCGAAGACCAATGACGGTGTTGTAGGGGTCGAAAATGATGGTGCCCCAAAGGAAGAAAAATCTGATGGGGAAAGGAAACAAAAGGGGGAAAGAAGAAGGTCAAAGGCAAACCCTAGGTTGAGTAACCTACCCAAGCATTCACGAGGAGAGCAGGTGGCAGCTGGATGGCCTTCGTGGCTGTCGGATGCCTGCGGGGAGGCACTTAATGGATGGATTCCACGGAAGGCTGACACCTTCGAGAAGATTGATAAGGTGGCTGGTTTTTCTTTTCGTTCAATATTTGTGTTATTTATCCTTATTATTTCGTGATGATGTCGTACAATGTAGTTTGTTTTTATATGATAGTGAATATATCTTGTTGTAGTTGTGTTCTTTGTTTATTAATGTATGTCATATGGATGGATGGTTTTGTCTTTAGATAGAAGCAATTGCCTTAGATCATCTTGAGTGCAGTTTAATTATAGTTCCTTTTCTTTATTTGTCGATGCTTTTGGAGTTTGTATTTTGGATTCAGATACTTACCGTTCCTTACTGATGGTAGATTGGCTCAGGAACATACAGCAACGTGTACAAAGCTAAAGATATGGTAACAGGTAAAATTGTTGCACTAAAGAAGGTTCGTTTTGATAATCTTGAACCCGAGAGCGTGAAATTCATGGCTCGAGAGATTCTCATATTGCGGAGGTTGGATCATCCCAATGTTGTAAAATTAGAAGGTTTAGTTACTTCAAGGATGTCTTGCAGTTTGTATTTGGTATTTCAGTACATGGAGCATGATTTGGCTGGGCTTGCGGCAAGCCCAATAGTAAAGTTCTCTGAGCCGCAGGTTAGCTCCAACTTGGCTTTTGATTTAAATTACTGTAAAATCCATATCCATGGTTTATATGTATGGTTAGGTAGTGACCCTAGAAGTATGGTTAAAATGTATGTTATAGGTTAAATGCTACATGAATCAACTACTCTCTGGCCTTGAGCACTGTCACAACCGTGGAGTGCTTCATCGAGATATTAAGGGGTCGAATCTTCTTATTGATGATGGAGGAGTTCTTATGATTGCTGATTTTGGGTTGGCTACATTTTTTGACCCAAACCGCAAGCATCCAATGACTAGTCGGGTGGTAACACTGTGGTATCGAGCCCCTGAGCTTCTTCTTGGTGCTACAGATTATGGTGTTGGCGTGGACCTTTGGAGTGCAGGATGCATTTTAGCGGAGCTCTTGGCTGGGAAGCCCATTATGCCTGGTCGAACAGAGGTAGATTTTGCTCTGTATGTTCAGTTTATCATGCTTTGCATTATTTCCCATATGGCTGTGCAAGAATATAGGAGGATATTTTTGTATCGTTGCTTGTTGATTTAAGTTTATTTTTTTTTAAATTGCCACTCTGTTGCAACCAAGAAATCGCAGTATCAGATCTTGAAACTTTATCATGTACCTTTTGTTCACCACATGTTGAACATTAATAGGTGATTCTATGTGGTTGTTCCACCACATGTAATTGCTAACTTCGTGTTTCGTTTTATGATTGAGTAGGTAGAGCAACTGCATAAAATATACAAGTTATGTGGTTCACCATCAGATGAATACTGGAAAAAATCAAAGTTGCCAAATGCAACCTTATTTAGCCCGAGAGCCATATAAAAGACGCATAGAAGAGACATTTAAAGATTTTCCAGCATCATCGCTGCCCCTCATTGACACTTTACTTGCAATTGATCCAGCGGAACGTTTGACTGCCACTGCTGCATTGGGAAGTGAAGTGAGTTTGATTTCAGTGAACACTTTCTGGTTCTACCTTCTCTTGGCATCTTTTGACTTTTTATATCTAAGGATTTCTTTTTCTAGAAGTGTCTTTTT